GGGGGGGAGGGGGGGGGGGGGTATGGCTCACAGCCTGCCTGGCATGGCAGACACCCTGTTACCCCCAACGGCAAGAGGATCTGAGTAGTAGAGACCAGAGTTTCTCACCCAGGGCAATCTGCCCCTCAGGGGACATTTGACAACATCATGTAAAATTTTTGGTCATTACAACTAGTGGGTAAGGTAACAATGGCATCCAGTGGGTAGATGCCAGAGATGCCACCAAATACCCTACAACACACAGAACAGCCCCACACAGAGAATCTCCCTGCCCAAATGCCTACAGTGTCAACGCAGAGAAGCCCTGGTATAGACCAGTGCCCCAAAGGCCCAGGGGTAACTCTGGGACCATCGCAGAATTGGGGTTAAGGGAAGGCCTGTCACCCCAACTTAGGGCAGCTGCTGTTTTCTCTGCTGCCCACTAGGACTTCTGCAGATATTTCAAGAGAAAAGGATCCCACAGTTAAAAGCACTGCAGCCCAGTATAGTCAATGAGAGCCAAGACGTAAGCCTGGTAGCAGGACCCCTGGCCTCTGGGTGGGGAGGAGTTCAAGCCCAGACTCTGCCTGTCCCCTCAGGTAAACCTGGATGAGTCACCCTGGCCCTCGCTGTCTCACCCCTATGAGGACTGTCCCCACTGCTGACCTCAAGGGGCCCGGCCCAATCTATGTGCCCTCACCTGCCCAGCACATCCCCAGGAGGTGACTTTGGGGGACCACACAGCACCAAGGAGCAAAAGCACCCCTCCACAGTTCTTGTTCACCTTTCCCATCATGAAAATCTCCCAGAGGGCCGGGCTCAGGACCAGGGCTTTGAAGGTGAAGGGATGGAGATAGAACTCAACAGAATCCATTTATTTTCTTTTATTTCTATTTGTGATGAGTGGGTCCTTGTTTTCCGTTTAGGGTAGTGAGATGAAGGCTACTTTTAAGTAAATGTATTTAATTTCTAAAAAGTGAGTCATCTTTAAGAAACATCAATTATTAGGAGGTGGGATGCTAGATGCAGTAGCTCACGCCTGTAATTCCAGTACTTTGGGAGGCTGAGGCAGGAGGACTGCCCGAGTTCAGGGGTTCAAGACCAGCTTGGACAACTTGGCAAGACCTCATCTCTACAATAAACTAAGAAAAATTAGCTGGGCACAGTGGCTCATACCTGCAATCCCAACACTTTGGGAGGCAGAGGTGAGAGGATTGTCTGAGCCCAAGGGTTCAAGACCAGCCTGGGAAACTTCTTGAGGCCTCGTCTCTACAATAAGTAATAATAAAATAAAAAATTAGTCAGGCATGGTGGCACACACCTGTAGTTCCAGCTACATGCAAGGCTTAGACAGAAGGATCGCCTGAGCCCAGCAGGTTGAGGGTGCAGTGGCCATGAGTGTGCTACTGCACTCCAGCCTGGGTAACAGAGTGAGACTCCAACTCAAAAATAAATAAATAAATAAAAGGAGATCGGAGAATGAATGAGGGCTGGGAGAGGGAGCTCTACCACGAAGTCTTACAAGGCACATCACTTTTGCCAATGTTCGGCAGACAGGATATTAAGTTCACACCTGGAGAAACCCAGGAAGACCCCAAGGCTGTGCAGGCCTTCAATACCAAGCACAGGACTCATCACTTTGGCAGTCAGCAGGGAGATTCCCATGCCGATAAACTTGCTGCAAAAATCTCCTGACCAGAGGAAGTCTGGGGCAGAGGGACTTTTGACCTTGACCTGTGCTGGGTCCTCAGGGTAGTCTGGGGGCAGCCAGACCTGCTGGGCCTGCAAAAGGCCTTTCTTTGCTCTGAGCCGATGTCCTCACATCCCCTGATGTCACCTTTCTTATTGTCCGGAGGTGACCTGATCACAGGGAAGCCTCGGAAAAGTTCGCCAGGTCAAAGGAAGAGAAGCCAGAAGAGACAGGGCCATGGGGAACAGAGTGCCAGATGGGGTTGTGAGAATGGAAAGGGAGACTTGAGGGAGCCAGGCGCAGTGGCTCACGCCTGAAATTTCAGCTACTGGATCGCTTGAGGCCAGGAATTCAGGCTAGCCTGGGAAACATGGCAAGACCTCATCTTTAAAAAATAAAGATAAAGAAAGACCTGGGGGAGAACGAGCAGGAAGGGCAGTGGTATTTACTACACTCTGGCCAGACAAGGATGCCCACACCCAGACCACAAGGCTCACTTAATCCTTCAGATATGCTCTGGGCAAGGTTTTATCATCTTCCCCATTTTGGAGATACAGAAATAGACTCAGAGGCTGGGCACAGTGGCTCAGGCCGGTAATCCCAGCACTTTGGGAGAGCAAGGCAGGAGGATTACTTATATCCAGAAGTGTGAGACCAGCCTGAGCAAGATACTATCTCTACATAAAATAAAAAATTTAGCGGGGCATGGTGGCACACACCTGTAGTCCCAGCTACTCAGGACTACAACTCACTGTAGTAATAGCTCACTGCACCCTCAAACTCCTGGACTCAGACAATCCTCCTGCTTCAGCCTCCTGAGTAGTTGGGACTACAGGTATGTACCACCACGCCAAGCTAATTATTTTCTAGAGATGAGATTTCACTATGTTGCTTAGTCTGGTCTTGAATGCCCGGGCTCAAGCAATGCCACCTTAGCCTCCTAAAGTGCTGGGCTTACAGTCATGAGCCACCACGCCTGGCCATCTTTTTGCTGCTTTTGATACGGCTGTTAGCAATTTAAAACAATGTACCCACAGCTCACATTCTATTTCTTTCTTTCTTTTTTTTTAACTTGAGTTGGAGTCTCACTCTGTTGCCCAGACTGGAGTACCGTGTCACACTCAAGGCCACGCCAGCATCGACCTGCTGGTCACTGGTGATCCTTCCACCTCAGTCTTCCAAATAGTGGGAACTACAAGTGCGCGCTACCACACCCAGCTCTTTTTTATTTTATTGTGGAGACAAGGTCTCGCCAAGTTGCCCGGGCTGGTCTCAAATCCACGGGCTCAGACAATCCACTCGCCTCAGCCTCCCAAAGTGTTAGGATTACAGGCTGAGCCACCGAACCCAGCCCTCACATTCTATTTCTATCGAAGGCACTGGTCTAGAGCATTTTAGGTTATTTTTTCCCACTTGCACCATTTGATATTCAAAAGCAGAAGTGGCAATAAGAAACCACTAGAAGGACTTTGCTCCAATTACAAATTCTGGAAGAAAATGAGCTAATCTTGTTGGATTGTGCATGGGTGGTTTGGTGATTGACCTCCACCTGGTTCAGAGGGGTGGGGAACACCAGTCCCTGGCTACCATGGCTCCAGGAAGGACCCAGGACACTTGGACAACAGCCAAAGCCCTGGAGCAGACCCCAGGACCAGGACTGGTTTTGAAAAAGACCGCCACACAGAAAAGCTGGTTCCTGAGGCCACAGGACTCTGGGGCAGGGCCCAGCTAAGGAGCCTTCTAGGTGACTTTGATGCTTGTTTAAGTTTGATAACCACTATTTAGAGGAGGAGGCCAGGCCTGGCCACAAGGCGGGCCTGAGAACATTGCACAGAAGGAAAACACCTAAGGGCCGGTGTAGCCTCCCACCTCGTATCTCAGAACCACAGACATCTCCCTTCCACGCTGATGTACATGCGGGTCCCTCTGCTTATCCCCTTCTTTCTCTCATCCCTCTGGAGGACTTCAATGCGTCCTGCAAGACCCAGGTCAAATGTCCCCCCAACTGCAGCCTCTCCTGACAGGATGATGTTCCATGTCCCATCCTTGGGCTTTTGGCCTAGCCTATTCTTACCACTTCCTGAATGGCCTCAATGCTTTTTCTAGCCCCCCAAACCTGGTTTCTTTATAAAACACAGAATATGTGTCTCTCCCCTGCAGAAAACTGTCACTGGGTCCCCATGACCTAAAAAAGCGACAGAGTGAGACCCTGACTCAAAAAACGAAACAAAACTAGGAGAGCATGAATAGGGGCCACACTGCAGGCAGGCTCGTCTTGCAAACACCCAGGGGCCACCACGGCTCCTCCATGGAAGCCAAGGGTGGTGCTGAGCTGGGCGGGCACAGCTTGAAGCTGCATCTGCAGGCGCTCACAGAAGGACAATGCTGATGGAGAGCTGGTCAGGGGCCCCCTTCTTCAGTGCAGCATCAAAAGGAAAGCCCCGTAGTGGCCACAGCAGTGCCAGAAGGAGCCACACCACAAATAATAAAACAGTCACACTTCCTGAGCTCTCATGTGCACCCCGCACACCTCCAGGAACCTACCACAAATTAACTCATCTAATCCCCATAACAATTCTATAAGCGAGATCCAGTTATTATCCCCATCTTATAGATGGAGAAACTGAAGCATGGAGTTAAAGGTTAAGACCCTGTCTAGGTTCTTCAGCTTGTAAACGGCAGGGCTGGGATTCAAGGCTAGGCTATAGACATATGCAGCTCCTCCCTGCCCCCAATCAGTGATGCTGTACCCCAGTGTGGAGACCCTACCGGAAAAGGGGCCCCGGGGGCCTAGAGCCCCCTGGCCACTTCTCCTTGCCCTCAGAGCAGATGCTGAGAAGGAGCCGAGGGCCTCAAGACAGGCCCCCGAGCACCAAGCCAGGCTGGACAGGGCAGCAGCTTACCCACAGCTTCCCATCATAGTAGTAGGCTCCCAGGAGCTTCACAATGTAGGGGTGGTCACAGGTGGCCAGGATCTCGATCTCCACGATGTAGTCCTCCAGCTCCTCCTCACTCTTGGTCTCGATGACCTTGGCCGCTGCCAGGGCACCCGTCTCCTTATTTTTGGCCTGCACAGAGGAGACACAGAAGGTCAACAAAGCATGCTCGGCAGGAAACTGACCCTTGGACACAGGCCCAGAGTGCCCCACATGAGTGTGAAAACAGAGGCCGGATGTGCAGATGGGGGCCGAGGCACTGACGCGGGACACACATTGTTCTCAATGAAGGTCAGTGCCACACAGCATGTCAGCACAGGGGAGCCACATAGGAAGCCGTGTCTGTGCTTAATAATAATAATTATAAAGTACAATACACCCACAGCATGGAATAAATAAAAATCTAAGAATGGGACAGCTCTACAAATACCAACATGGGAAGATGGTCCATTTGTTCAGTAAAAAAAAAAAAATCCAACTCAAGCAGGGCACAGCGGCTCATGCCTATAATCCCAGTACTTTGGGAGGCCGAGGCCAGAGAATTGCTTGAGCCAAGGAGACAGAGCCTCTACTGAGAGTGATGAGACAGCCACTCAGGAGGGTGTGTGGGGGCTAGGAGAGGGCCCCAATCCCACCAGGATCCTTCTGGAAGGAAGCAATGCTAAGGGGTGATTCAAACTGGCAATTTTGCATTGATATGTAAAATAGATATTTATGGAGCACATGTGGGCACTTGTTGCACGCATAGGCTATAGTGATCAGGTCAGGGCATCTGGGCTACCCATCACCAGGAACATTTACCATCTCTGTGTCAGAAACAACCAAGTCCTTTCTTCCAGCAACTTTGTTTGTTTTTGAGTCAGAGTCTCATTCTGTCACCCAGGCTGGGGTGCAGTGGCACATTCACGGCTCACCACAGCTTCAACCTCCTGGGCTCAAGCGATCCTTCCACCTCAGCCTTCCCAGTAGCTGGGACTCCAGGCATACACTACCACACCTGGCTAATTTTTTTATTTATTGTAGAGATGAGGTCTTGCCAAGTTGCCTGAGCTGGCCTCAAGCTCCGGAGCTCAGGCAGTCCCTCTTGCCTCAGCCTCCCACAGTGCTGGGATTACAGGTGTGAGCCATTGCACCAGGCCTCTTCCAGCTACTCACCCTACTTTGCTATCATACATCAGAACTGATTCCGTCCATCTACCTGTACGTTTGTACCATTAACCAACCTCTCGGTCTCTCCCTCTTGCCTACACATCTCTGATATCCAAACAGGCCATTTGGATGTTCATTTGCTTTTTTGTACATTTACTGTTAGTTTGGGTAAATATTTTGCTTATTGAGCCATGAAGTGCCCAGGCTCCCATGCAGGGATAATGAGCTTCATGTGTATCACGGACCCACTAGAGCCCACTTTGCAAGGGGCACCGATCTATACTCCTCATGCATGTTTTTTTGTTTGTTTGTTTTTTTGAGTTGGAGTCTCACTCCTTCGCCCAAGCTGGATTACAGTGGCACGCACGCTCGTGGCCACCCCAGCGTCGACCTGCTGGGCTCCGGCGATCCATCCACCTCAGTCTTCTGAGTAGCCAGAACTACAGACATGCGCTACCAGGCCCGGCTATTTTTATTTTATTTTATTTTATTATAGAGACAAGGTCTCGCCAAGTTGCCCGGGCTGGTCTCGAACCTGCGGGCTCAGGCAATCCACTCACCTCAGTCTCCCAAAGTGCTGGGATGACAGGCTGAGCCACCGAGCCCGGCCTCCTCATGCATGTTAACTCACTTACCTCCTCGCCCACCCTACGATGTGGGGTTATCCTCACCACATGGACAGATGAGGAGACTGGGGCAGAGGCCTGGCGAGTGAGATGGCAGAGCATATTTAAAACGCTGGCAGTCCCACACCCAAATCTGCACACTCTTGGGGCCACACTCTTCCACCATCAAAGTCCCTCTTGAGCCAGAGTCTTTGACACCTCCTGCCTCAGGCCCAGGAGCCCAGCTCAGGGGAAGATCTTCACGCAGGGCTATTCTCCAGGGTCAGTCCTGGCCCTAGAATCTCCCTGCTCACAGGGCCCTTCCCCTGCGGGGTCTCCCCTCAGTGTGGAAAGTTTAGTCAAAACATATTAGAAACCTATCAACTGAGTCATCAGGTGCAAGTGCACTCACACTCACACTCCGTCTCTCTTTCTCCTCTCTCTCTCTCTCTCTCTCTCTCTCTCTCTCACACACACACACACACACACACTTGACTGATTATGTACCTGTCTTTCCATATCTTGTAAAGCTGATCATTTTTATGTCCCCACCAGAGGGCTGGCAAAGAATCCTTTCATTTCTGCACAACACTCCTCCTCCTCTACCTATCCTCTCCCTCCCTCCTCCGTCCCCTCTTCCTCCTTCCCCTCCTCCTTTTCTCCAGTCCAGAAGAGAAGTGAGGCTGGGAACCAGGGCTTAGCTGGGTGCCTAGAGTGAGGGCCAGGTGACCAAGGCAGCCCTCCTGACCACGCTGAACTGGGCAAAGGCCACCTCTTCACTCACTCACCTTCCACTCCCGAGCACTGGTGAGGAAGGCTGCATATCACCTTTTCCTGAAAAGGGTGGAGGTTTCCTGAAGGTGGAGGAGGCCTAGGCAGGGACCATTTCCAGGAGTGCACAAACCATGCCTCTCCCGACAAGCTGAAAGGCGGAGGTGCTGACCGCAGGGCTGGGCCTCCAGCTGGTGCCAGTGTCAACACGAGGCACGCCCGTCCCAGCCCCTTGCTGGGATTCCACAGAGACCCGAGTCTGCCAGAGAGCAGTCCATAGAAACCATGGCCCAGAGACTTGGCCGAACTTAAATTCCTTCAAAGCCTGGCTGAGGCAGTGGTCCACCACCTTGAGGCCACAGAAGGTGTAATAACGGTTGATGATAACAAAAACAGTCCTGACAGAGCCTCACTGTGTGCCGGGACAGGACTTACGCAGAATTTCTCACTTCATCATCCATCCTGCCCTAGAAGACAGACATTATCATTCCCAGTTTACAGGTGAGGAGACTGAGATTCGGAGAGGCAGGGCCATTTGCCCCACGTCACACAGTGAGCGGGGTGGAGGGCAAGGTTGGATCCAAATGTAAGCCTGCCTTGCTCAAAGACCCTGGCTCCAAATCACTTCCCCAAAGACCCCTCTTTGTACATGCCCAGCATTGCCTGCTCCATCGCCCTTTGGTAAAGATAAGTGACAACCATGGCCGACAGCAATTCCCACTGAGAGTGCTTGGCAGCTGCAGACAGCTCAGCCAGAATGTAACCTGCCAACAGACCATCAAAATAGGTATTAGTTACCATGCCTATTTCCCAGGCAAGCATTCAGAGGTTTGCGGAGGTAACAGGCAGAACCTGCCAGGATGACCTGAGAGCTGTGATGGTCTTCTGGTTCCCAGGCCAGTGCTCTCCTCACACAGTGCTTCCAGGAAACAGCTTTCCCCCCATTCATTCAATCATTCATTCATTCATTCATTTCACTATTATTTACTTGGCTAAATAATGAGTGAAACAAGCCTGGGCACCATGGCTCACACCTATAATCCCAGCACTTTGGGAGGCCGAGGTGAGAGGATTGCCTGAGCCCACAGGTTTGAGACCAGCCTGGGCAACTTGGTGAGACCTCATCTCTATAATAAATAAATAAATAAACATAGCTGGGCATGGTGGCACACGCCTGTAGTTCCAGCTACTTGGAAGGCTGAGGCAGAAGGATCGCATGAGCCCAGCAGGTCGAAGCTGTGGTAGCCATGAGCGTGCCACTGCACTCCAGCCTGGGCGACAAGAGTAAGACTCCCAACTCAAAAAAAAAAAAAAAAAAGGAGCGAGACAGTTCTTTAGCAAAAGAGACTAACAGTCTCTACCTAGAAGGAGATGACTTGCGTGTGGGAATCACTGCCCTCCCAGAGCATTCCTCATTTTTCTTCAACAAAACCAAGCTGTCCTCCTTCCCAGTTCCTAAGCCTCACTGGGGATTATTTCATCTGTATCTAGAAATGGGTACTCACCCTGGCCAATCAGAACACTGTGCTCCCTCTGGCAACAGTGATTAGCTCAGGATCAGGCACGTGACCAAGAAGCCAATTAACTGCAAACTCAGAACAACTTCAGAGACAGCTGAGATTGCACAAGCCCTCCAAGGCAACCAGCCCAGAGCTCCCAAGGGGAGCCTGAAAGCGAAACTTGGTCCAAGACACTAGAGCCAAGAGCAGACACGAGAGACACTGTCTGACCCCTCAATCAATTTTTACAACTCACTATTACCAGTTTTATTATATGTATGTATAAACAACTGAGGCTCAGACAGATGAAGTCACCTGTCCAAGGTCACACAACAGGTACATAACAGGGTTAGGAGTTGAATTCTGACCTGTGTGACTTCAAAGTCCATGTACCTGACTCCTTAGTCAGAGGACCTGTATGTTTTGCAAGTCCTGTCTAAGGTCGGGCATAGTGGCTCATGCCTGTAATCCCAGCACTTTGGGAGGCCGAGGTGGGCAGATTGCCTGAGCCCAGGAGTTTGCGAACAGTCTGGGCAACATAGCAAGACCTCATCTCTACCAAAAAGAAAAAAGAAAAATGTCCTGCGTGGGCCTTAGTTTCCCCTGTACACAGTGGGAGAGTGGGGAAATAAAGCCCAAGCTCTCTCTGTGCTCTGAAGTCAGGCCATCTTAGAGAGCGGGTGGGTCTTGGAAAGCTGAGCAGTCCGAGTGGATGGGGCCCACGTGGGTGTTGACAGGAGAGGAATCGCAGAAAGAACAAGTGGCTGCCTGTGGCTCTCTCTGATATCCGTCTCTTTCACAGGCTGAGGCAAGGCAGGGGTCCAGCGAGGGATGAGGGGCGCCCCAGCCCAGCCCTCCACTCTGGCCTGAGTGACTAACACCTCGGCCCACACCCTGGAGGGCAGACACACAGTGGCCTCTTGTGTTTTCTGGCACTGGCACCTCTGCAGGAACAATCCTCCCCCTGTGCCAGCAAGGGAAGGAGGTGGAGACAACCCTCCCAGTGGGGACCCCTGCTCCACCCCAGGGGCCCAGCCAGCCCAGTCAGGGGGCTTCCTGTGGCCAGCAGGGTTACCACCCCCAGGCCCTCCCCTTTGCTCCTAGCGGGTCACTGTGTCCCTCCTCATCTTCCTAGGAAACAACTGATACCACAGACCTCAGGAACCTGAGCCACCACTCCTAAGCACCAAACCCCCACCGCCCACTCTGCAGATGAGAAAGGTAGATGCAGAGACCAGGGTCAGATCAGCAACACCCTGTGAAACGAGCATATGTCTGGCCTCAAGAAGAGTAATCGAGGACACAAGGGCAAAGAGCCCGAGGGGCCTGCTCTGGGGACACCCTAACTTCAGGCCTGGAGCCTGAAACAAATCCTGGGTGAAGGGTGCAAGGGGGGAGTTGCCTGGCTGACATCCATTCCCCCTGGTGCTGTCAAAACTCTAGTTTCCTGTGGCAACTGCCTCTCCTTCACTCCCAGGCCACCCGCCCTGGTCAGATGTATGCCCGAGGAGCAGTCGATCACAGTGCTGAGCCTTGTCACCAGCACTAGTTCAGAGAGTCCTGGGCATGTGACCCAAGGAGGCCAACGGGATGGTACCTGGGTGGTTTTTTTGGTTTGTCTGAGGTTTTTTTGTATGTTTGTTAAAACTGTCAAGAAAGCTAGCCAGGCGTAGCGGCGCATGCCTATAGTCCAGTTACTTAGGAGGCTAAGGCGGAAGGATCGCCTGAGACCAGGAGGCCAATGCTGCGGTGAGCTGTGATCATGCCACTATACTCCAGCCTGAGAGACAGAGTGAGACCGCACTCAAAAATAAAAATAAAAAAATAAATAATAATAATAAAGTTATCAGGAAAGCAGCTCTTTCTTTCTCTGGGGTTGATACTGGAAGGCCAGGGGGTCTTGTAGTCCATCTTCCCACTCCTTTGACAGCCTGCCTGAGATGAGGCCAAGGCCAGGGAAGCTGGGCCCACTAATGGAGGAGGGGAGAGCACTGATGATTCTGTGGAGCACCTGGAGCCAGCTGTTCCTGAAGGTAGCCCCTACCTCTCAGACCTTTCAGTTATGGGAGCCCATAAACACCCTTTTGGACTCCTGTTACATGCCACCAAGAAGGAAATGAGTTTCCCCATCTCAAGGGGCCGACACCTAGACAAGTGCTATACTACACAACACTGTGTGATGAGGGTCACTGCCACTTGCAAGCCCACCATGAGCTGCAAAGCAACATTCACTGAGGCCTCACGGAGGTGATGACTGGGGACCTGGAGGAAACTGCAGTGACAAATGCACTCCAGGCCAATAGACACCATGAGTTTCTTCTGCCAGAAGAACTGTCCTCCAAAAAAGTGGAAAGGGGCCGGGCATGGTGGCTCAGCCTGTAATCCCAGTCCTTTGAGAGTTCGAGGCGAGAGGATTCCCTGAGCCCAGGGGTTCGAGACCAGCCTGGGTAACTTGGTGGGACCTCGTCCCTACAATAAATCACAAAAACTAGCCGGGCGTGGTAGTGCATGTCTGTAGTTCCAGCTGCTTGGAAGGCTGTGCTCCAGCTTGGGCAACAAGAGTGAGACTCCAACTCAAATAAAAAAAAAAAAACAGTGGGAATGGTCACTTTGTGCTTACTCAATGAGCAAAACCAAGCGATACAACGCCAGTGCACGGACAATGTGGTAAAATGGGATACCTCTTACTAGCAAAACAGAAACTGGTTCAATCTTTCCAAGATAACAGTTGGCAGTAAGATTTAAGAGTCTTGAGAATAACTTTTAAGCCTATTATCCCTCATCCCTGAGAATTTAATGCCAGGAATTAACTTTAAAAAGATAACAAAAGAAATGTACCAGGATCATGTTCATATTAGTCCATCATAATGGAAAAAAGGTGGAAATAACCTAAAGACAATGGTTAAATTAACTTAATGGGATTTTTTTTGTTTTGAGTCAGGGACTCACTCTGTCACTCAGCATGGAGTGCAGTGGCACAATCACAGCTCACCCCAGCTTCGATCTCCTGGACTCAAGCAATCCTCCTGCCTCAGCCTCCCAAGTACCTGAGACTATAGGCACATGCCACCATGCCCTGCTAATTTTTTTTTTTTTTTTTTTAGAGACAAGGTCTAGCTATGTTGCCTAGGCTGGTCTCAAACTCCTGGCCTCAATCCTAACCCTCCCAAAGTGTTGGGATTACAGGCATAAGCCACCAAGCCTGGCCAACTTAATGTGATACTAAGCAATTCTTTAAGATGATACATAAGAAAATAATACATGGATGAGAAAAAAAATACCTAAGCTACAATAGTTACAAAACAAAGCAGGATAATGAAACTGTAGCTAGCCTGCAAAGTTCCTTTGATAAAACCACATGTATCTATGGACAAACACAAGGAACACAGCACAACAAAAGCCAGGGTGTATAAAGACTGTTTTCACCCAGAGCCATCTGACTCTTGTCCACAGGGGTCCCAGCGAGGACAGATGGGAGGTGCAAAGGGGCCTGCACAGCCAGAGACCCCTTTCTCTAACCTTAAAGGTTTCCAGACTCTCAAAGAACTAAAATACATCTATCATTCAACCCAGTAATCCCACTACTAAGTATCTACCCAAAGGAAGAAAGGTCATTATACAAAAAAGACCCCTGTGCTCACATGTTCCTCAAAACACAATTCACAAATGAAAACATGTAGAATCAACCTAAATGTCCATCCATTGATCAGTGGATAATGACAATGTGGTGTGTGTATGTATACACAGGAGTGCTTAAAAATGTACACACGGCCGGGCACGGTGGCTCAAGCCTGTAATCCCAGCACTTTGGAAGGCTGAGATGAGAGGATTGCCTAAGCCCACGGGTTGGAGATCAGCCTGGGCAACTGGGCAAGACTTCATCATTACAATAAATAAAATTAGCCAGGAGTGGCAGCAGATGCCTGTGGTTTCAGCTACTTGGAAGACTGAGGCGGACGGATCACCTGAGCCCAGCAGGTTGAGGCTGTGGTGGCTGTGAGTATGCCACTGCTCTCCAACCTGGGTGACAATGTGAGATTCCAACTCAAAAAAAAAAAAAAAGTACACACATTTACAAACGTCATACTTAAAAATGTATATACATTTTTTTGGCACCCCCATACATAAACACACACCATGGAATACCATTCAGGTATAATAAAGAACAGTCAAGCATGGTAGCTCACACCTGTAATCCCAGCACATTGGGAGGCTGAGGTGAGAGGACTGCATGAGCCCACGGGTTCAAGAACAGCCTGGGCAACACGGCGAGACATCTCTACAATAAATAAAAATATCAGCTGGGCGTGGTGGCACACACCTGTAGTTCCAGCTTCTTGGAGGGCTAAAGCGGAAGGATCACCTGAATCCAGCAAGTCAAGGCTGCGGTGGCCATGAGCATGCCACTTCACTCTAGCGTGGGCAACTGAGTGAGACTCCAATTCAGAAAAAAAGGAAGAACAAAATAATGTCTTTTGCAGTGACTTGTATGGAACTGGAGAGCGTCATCCTCCATGAACTAACTCAGGAACAGAAAACCCAACACCGCATGTTCTCACTTAAAAGTGGGAGCTGGCCGGGCTCGGTGGCTCAGCCTGTAATCCCATGCTTTGGGAGGCCGAGGTGAGTGGATTGCCTGAGCCCGCAAGTTCGAGACTCACCTGGGCAACTTGGCGAGACCTCATCTCTACAATAAATCAAAAATTAGCTGGGCGTGGTAGCGTGCACCTGTAGTTCCAGCCACTTGGAAGGCTGAGCGGAAGGATCAATGGAGCCCAGCAGGTCGAGACTTCGGTGGCCGGGAGCGACAGAGTGAGACTTTAACTCAAAAAAAAGAAGAAAAAAAAAGTGGGAGCTAAACTAAAGGTCTGCAAAGGTGTAGAGAATGGTGTAATGGACACTGGAGACAGAGTGGGGAACGATAAAGGATGGACGGACCAAAAAATCACCTGTCAGGTACAATACACACAGGTGAGAGTGGTGGGTACACTTAAAACCCAGACTTCCTCACCACTATACAGAGGAGTTATGTAACCAAAAATCATTTGTACCCCCTAAAGCTACTTAAAGAAAGAAACAAAATTTTTTTTTGAGTTGGAGTCTCACTCTGTCGCCCAGACTGGAGTACAGTGGCCGCTCCCGGCCACCACAGCCTCGAACTGCTGGGCTCCAGCAATCCGTCTGCTCAGGCTTCCAAGTAGCTGGAACTACAGGTGTGTGCTACCACACCCAGCTAATTTTTTGATTTATTGTAGAGATGAGGTCTCACCAAGTTGCCCAGGTGGGTCTCGAACCCATGGGCTCAGGCAATCCACTCACCTCATCTCCAAGGCACGGGATTACAGGTTGAGCTACCGAGCTCAGCTAAGAAAATTATTATTTTTTAAATGTTTCTAGAGATGGACACCTTTGTTTTCTCAAAAGCAATATGAGCTGTGCCATCTGATATGGTGGCTACCAGCCACATGCAGCTATTAATAAAAATGGCTGGGTGCAGTGGCTTACACCTGTAATCCCAACACTTTGGGAGGCTGAGGAGAGGATTGCCTGGGCCCAGGGGTTTGAGACCAGCCTGGGCAACTTGGTGAGACCTTGTCTCTACAATAAGTCAAAAAATTATCCAGGCGTGGAGGCAAGCACCTGTGGTTCCAGCTACTTGGAAGGTTGAGGTGGAAGGATCACTTGAACCCAGCAGGTCGAGGCTGCAGTGACCATGACCGTACCACTGTGTTCCAGCCTAGGCGACAGAATGAGACTCCCAACTCAAAAAAAATAAAAATAAAAATGAAACCTCAGTTCCTTGACTGCATTCACCACATTTCACGTGCTAGATAAGCACACTGGGCCTATCGCATTGAACAGGGCAGATATAGAACATCCCCATCACTACAGAAAGTTCTAGCGAACAGCTCTGCTCTTGAAGCTTCCAACCCCAACCTGTCCTGGCAGAAAACGCCTCCTCGGAGGTGGGGGTGGCTCTAAAACTCACCCAGTTCTCAGAAACATGTCTTTTTCTAGGAAGAAGAACAGGTACCCGCCGGGGTCACTTGCCAGGGAGGACTCCCAGCAGCCTGGCTGGGTGGTGGGTGTGACGGAAGTCTCCCAGCTGACTGACTGAAGGGGAGCCAGGCTATGGGTCACAGCCACAGAACAGAGCAGCCGGGGACAAAGTCCCGTCTCCCCGTCCACTTTGCTCTGGACAGCTGTGCCAGGCATGTGTCGAGTATGGCTCTGCCATGGGAACCGAGATGGGGCCTGGTCTGTGTCCGGCACCTCGTACAGCTGTGCGGTCCTGCCTGGAGCCAGTTTGTCTCCTCACGGTGACAACTGTTACCCACAGCAGGAAGGACTTCGTTCTGTTCTACTAAGAGAGGATAACTGGCTCCAAGGGAGCTGGGGTCACAGCAGAACAGGTTATGTGCACAGAAAGGGCTCAGTATCAATTCAAGGAGAGTAGACCAGGCACAGTGGCTCACACCTGCAATCCCATCACTGTAGGAGGCCAAGGTGGGAGGATCACTTGAGCCCAGGAGTTCAGCCTGGGCAACGTAGTGAGACCTCGTCTCCATAAAAAATAAAAAATGGTGCTGAGCGTGGTGACACACACCTATATTTCAAGCTACACCAGAGGTGGAGGTGGAAGGATCACCTGAGCCCAGGAGGTGGAGGCTGCAGTGAGATGTGAGCCATGCTGCTGCTCTCCACCCTGGGCTGCAGAGGGAGACACCAACACACAAAAAAAAAGATTCAAGAAGGGTGTTCTGATGGTAGCAGACATAGAGTCAGGGTGGGTACCGCTGTGGATTCAGGGTCCACTGAGGCTCCAGGCAGGCAAAAGTTGGTGGAGCCATATGCACCCTTGGCCTGGCCCTCCGCAGGCCTGGTTCCTTGTGGCCCAGGATGAAAAAGGTCACCAAGGCCTCTCCTGGTGTCCTGGGGTAGGACAGAGCAGCCCGCCTCTCTCCAGCACAGGCCGCGAGGGACAGTACTGCCAGTTCCTGCTAGGAAGAGACCAGGACGGCCCAGGGAGAGAAAGTGACTTGTCGCAGGTCACACAGCAGGGAAGCAGCTGCCAGGCCTGGAGTAGCCCACAGTAGCCCATGAGGGTAGTCATCCCAGGGGTCTCATGCCCAGCTACTCTGTGTGCCAGTCCTCTTTCCTGTTCCTCCCTCCATGCCCCTTAACCAGAAACACTCTTCCTATGAAGCCTCAATGGCTCCCTGCTGCTGACCAGATAAAGCCCAAGCTCCCCGGCCCAGCACTCAAGGCCCTCATGAGAAGGACTGCCCGCCTCCCCAGGTCCACCACTCCCATGTACTCAGCCCCCGTCACTCCCTACCTCCAGGCCTTCTTCGTGCCTCTCTTCTATCCGGAATGCCTCCCGTATATACCCATGTCTAGCCAGCCCGCAGAACCTAACTCCTAACTCAACCCAGCTTAGGCCGTGGAATCTTCCCAGAACCCTAGCCTCTCCCTGGCTAGAATGTCTCTGGTAGGGCTCTGTTAGCACTTCCATCACAGTTGCCTGGTGCCCTGGTCATCTGTATCACAGATTCTCTCTCTGACCTGGCTGTGAGCTCTGAAAGGCTAAGTCCATGTCCAATTCACCTCAAGCTACCCCCATGGAGAACAGGCAGTGGACAGACAAGACAGTTGGGAGTGTGGGGGGTGGGATGGTGGGTGGGCAGACAGGCTGACGGGTGAGTAGATGGATGGGAAGGTGGGTGGGTGGACGAATGAGTGGGTGGATGGATGGATGGATGAGTGGGTGGATGGGAAGGTGGATGGATGGATGCATGAGTGAATGAGCGGGTGGATGGGAGGGTGGATAGATGCACAGATGAGTAGGTAGATGGGAGGGTGGGTGGATGGGAGGGTGGGTGGATGGATGGGAGCTTGGGTGGAGGGTGGGCAGAGGAATGGGAGGAGAGCAGACAGGTAGACAGATTGAAAGAAGGTTGAATGGGTGGATGGACAGATGAAGGGAGGGTGGATGGATGGGTGGATGGACGGACGGATCAACAGGTAGATGAGAGTGAGAGGGCAGGATCATGAGCGGGCAGATGGCAGACCAGGTGGATGTGACAGGGGATAAAGGAATGAACTGTATGTTTAGGGAGTAGTTATCATCCTCCCTTTTCCCAAAAGGCAGGGGAGCCTACCTGATGCTGAAGTCTATGGACACTCGTAGCCAAGAAGTTATTGCAGCCAGGCTCGGTGGCTCAGCCTGTAATCCCGTGCCTTTGGGAGGCTGAGGTGAGTGTATTGCCTGAGCCCGCGGGTTCAAGACCCGCCTGGGCAGCGAGACCTCATCTCTACAATAAATCAAAAAATCAGCCGGGTGTGGTAGCACATGCCTGTAATTCCGGCTACTCGGAAGACTGAGGCAGAAGGATCACTGGAGCCCAGCAGGCGAGGCTGCGGTGGCTGGGAGCGGCCACTGCACTCCAGTATGGGCGACCGAGTGAGACTCCAACTCAAAAAAAAAAAAAAAAGTTATTGCAGGTACCTACCCCACTCCAGCCAATGTCCCCATCTACACTCACAAATAGGCATAATTCCATCGATGATATGAGGAATGGGATCAGCACGGGACCTGGCTCAAGCCCCAACCCCACTACTTACCAGCTAAGTACACCAGAAGCTAAGAATCAAGATTTCATTTCTTCACAGAGACGTGCACAATGGCAGTGGCATGTGGAAAAATGCATAAACCATCATGGGTTAGTCAACTGACTGTTGGTTGTTACTGTTTTCACTTGGGACTATGTATTTTTTGTTTTCAAAAGCCTAAAACTATGCTTGTCTTGTTCATCAGTGTATCTACTACTCTAGTTATAGCATACGACGGGGACACCAAAAAAAACTCAGAATTATATTTTGAAAAGTGGTCCCCTTGTAGTACATGCTTCCCCTGCTAGGTAAGAGTTCTAGGAGCCAGGCACAGTAGCTCACACCTATAATCCCAGCACTCTGGGAGGCAGAAGCAAGAGGATTGCCTGAGCCCAGGAGTTCGAGACTAGCCTGGGCAACATGGGGAGATCTCGTCTCTACAGTAAATAAAAAAAAAATTAGCTGAGCATGGTGGCGCATACCTATAGTTGGAAGGATCACCTGAGTCTAGCAGGTCGAGGCAGCAGTGGCTGTGAGTGTGCCACTCCAGCCTGCGTGAAACAGTGAGACCCTGACTCAAAAAAATAAAATAAAAAATAAAGAGTTCTTTCTAGGAACCCATCGGCGTCAGTGTACCAGCTAGCGGTGTTGTGAGAGACAATTTGTAGAAGAAATGTCTCAAAATTTGGCAAACAGGAGACTGGTTTTTCTACCATGACAATGCACCTGACCACACTGAGATGAGTGTTCAGCAGTTTTTGACCAAAAATGACACGACCCCTGTGCCCCATCTTACCTATTCACCTGATCTTGCCCGAGCGACCTTTTTTTTTGTTTTCCCGGATGAAAAGTCCTCAGAGGGAAAGAGGTGAAAAAAAAAAAACAAAAACGGCAGAAGCACTAACAGGCATCAAAATGGATGAGTTCAAAAACTGGAGCAGTGGAAAAAGCATTTTGTCATGTATATTCTATCAAATGGAGAGTACTTTGAAAGTGGCTGAAGTTTATTTATGTATTTATTTTTGAGTTGGAATCTCACTGTCACCCAGGCTGGAGTACAATGACATGCTCATGGCTATCACAGCATCAACCTGCTGGGCTCAGGCGATCCTCCTGCCTCAACATTCCAAGTAGCTGGAACTACAGACGGTGTGCCACCACGTTCAGTTAATTTTTATTTATTATAGAAACAAGGTCTCCCCAAGTTGCCCAGGCTGATCTTGAACTCCTGGGCTGAGGCAATCTTCTCCCAAAGTGCTGGGATTATAGGCGTGAGCCACCACACCCAGCCTGAAGGTGACTAAAGCTTAAACATGTAAGAATACACAGTTTTTTTTTTGAGTTAGAGTCTCACTCTGTCGCCCAGACTAGAGTGCAGTGGCACATTCCCGGCCACTGCAGCCTCGCTCTGCTGGGCTCCAGCGATCCTTCTACCTCAGCCTTCCAAGTAGCTAGAACTACAGGCGCGTGCTACCACGCCTGGCTATTTTTTGATTTATTGTAGAGATGAGGTCTCACCAAGTTGCCCAAATGGGTCTCGAACCCGTGGGCTCAGGCAATCCACTCACCTCAGCCTCCCAAAGTGCTGGAATTACAGGCTGAGCCAACGAGCCCAGTCAATTTTTTTTTTTTGAGTCGGAGACTCACTCTGTCACCCAGGCTGGAGTGCAGTGGCATGCTGTCCACGGCCACCACAGTCTTGACTGCTGGGCTCAGGCGATCCTTCCACAACCTTCCAAAAAGCTGGAACTACAGGTATGAGCCACCACGTCCAGCTAATTTTTTATTTATTGTAGAGACAAGGTCTCACCACGTTGCCCAGACTAGTCTTGAACCCGTAGGCTCAGGCAATCCTCTCGCCTCTGCCTCCCAAAGTGCTCAGATTACAGGCGTGAGTCACTATGCCTGGCTCACAATTTTTATTAAAAAATTCTGGTGGTTTTTTTGGATCCCTCATCGTACACTCAGCAAACTATTTTATTTTATTTTTTTTGAGACAGGATCTCACTTTGTTGCCCAGGCTGGAGTGCAGTGAGTGCAATCATAGCCCACTGCAGCCTCAACCTCCTGAGCTCAAGCAAACCTCCCACCTCAGTCTCCCAAAGAGTTAGGATTACAGGCAGTAAGTATTTTTAAACAATGGATGGATGAGCGAGTAAATGGGTATTTTGTCTCCCTGCAAATAGAAAGAAATGAAGTCTTCCACATAAGCAAAGAAAAGAAAGTTGACAAGAAGTCTGTTTTCTCCTCCACATAGATGGATTTCAGAATCTCTGGTTGGTCTCCAGTTTGGAAGACGGCACCTTGTAACCTTGGAGGAACCAAAGCCTCTGGTCAAGATGTACACAGTTAATGTGCCCTGCCAAGCAGAGAGAAACCACCACCCAATCTATAACCACCATGCCAAGTTTCAGCTCAATGACAAATGAGACGGTCGGGTTTCAGAACAAGTGACACTTAAGGATGGCCAAGATTATGAAACACAAAAGTAGAGCAGTGACACACCTCCTTAAGACATGCACGTAACACCTCCTGAGGGAAGAGAAGCCTGGCTAGTTGCCCTGACACGGCGTGAGGATGTCAAGCCTTCAAAGCCCTTCTGG